AAATATGATTTTAATTATGCTTGAAATATCACTAGCCTCCAACGAAGGATAATCGCGAAAGATATGCATGAAAAATAACGGTTGCTGTAAAAATTGTTTACGAAACATAATTATGGCTGGTATTTTTCAAAAGCACTTCAAGCCACAGACAGAATGCCTACTAAGTGAATTCGCGGACTTCAGTGCAGATGGAAAATAAATGCACTGCATTTAAAGGAAATCATAAGGGAACGTCGCAATGGCATAGAGATATGTCTTCGAGAATATCCATTTCGCAGTCTTGCGTCAACAAGTTTGAGCGCATGCAACATTAAACCCAAGTTTCAGAGAGAGGGGAAAAGAAAAAGCGAAGAACACATGGACTGCCTACTTCAAGATGGTCCTTCCATTGGCATGATGCTTGACAGGCGATTCACAGTTCAAAGTTTAAACTAGAAAGACGATGAAGGCAGTTTTCAACGCTTAGTAGAACGACGTTCGGTAAGATGGTCCACAGTTTCACGATCTGCTCGAGTCGAACGAACGCCAGTCCAATAATTTATATTTGTGCAGATGGCACGCACATTTGTCGTGCCTTGCTCCTGTGTGGTTAATAGAGGAGCACATCTTCAGACACAAATCGAAACTTATCTGACGGAAGGTGAGGCTCTAGGTTAGTTGTTTATCAGTTGTTGATTTGGGAAAGGAAAGGAAAAAAAATTCACGTAACCGCTGCGATGTCGGTCCCCCGCATATCTCGATCATAGGCGGTATCTGCAGCATCCTGCTATCATACAGCCAATGGTGCAGCGCTAACTTTTACTACTACGCCATTAACCAAGAGCGCCGCTTATGCAGTTAGGTGGCTAGTACTACATAAGCCTCTCACTTCCTTGCTAAATAGTAGTACTAAATTCAACTGCGACGACCTGCCGTTCTTTGTTTGTACGGATGTCACAGCAATTCAGAATATATCGAGTTGCTGCGCTTTTTCAGCCCCTAACTGCGACCTCATTCATCGTGCATTAAGTATGGCCAAGCTGCTCGTTCGATTGCAAACCTGTGACGATGAAAAAAATGCGGTTGCACATGTCCAAGTATGAGCGTTTGAAAAAAGTGTTTCACAGTACCAGGGCAAGTTTTCCAATGACGCTTTTAGGTGGTAGAAAGGTCGACAGACACGCTTGCAGTTATTCAACGGAAGACTAGAAACCACGGCAATAGGGCACATTATAAGTGACTCTGTAAGTGCAGTTACCCAATTTGTCTATCTTCTTTTATGATAGATGCACTGCGTGATACTTCTAGTTTTGTTATTCTGGCAGTGGAAAGTGAACACTTGTTGCATCTTTACCGAGATACGTAAGTACATGTGTCTAAAATTATCAACCTCGGAAGAATGAAAGGTGAGTGATCCGGACGGGATCCCAGCTCACTATCTCACGACTGTGAGTCTGACACTGCACTGACTTGTTTACTCCTACTTCTGTACAAGTGAAAAAATCTGCAAAAAGCGTCGCTGCGAGTTGCAGGGTTGCTTTGCGCTTTAAAAGTTTTGTGTTCAGGTCGAGTGCGCAGCAGAGGTTTTTATTATAACTGCTAATTCCCTTGAGCACAGAATTCACTTAATTGTACTTAGGTGAAATAAGCCGAGAAACGCGTAGCAATTCGCTGACCTGGTAATAATAGGGACAGCATGGTGCCCTTGTGTCATGATGCGAGCACATACTAGACAGATGGCAAGACTACAGTTCGCGTTGGCTCATCTGACAGCTGACTCAGAGACAGTCAGACAGACCAGTCAAATATGCAGATATAGGGAGCTACATTACAGATACAATGTTACTGTATTTATTGGTGTACTTAGGTACAAACTTCATTATGGAGGTTTTAGCCTCGATAGCCGAAGCTGCATCATGGCTTCGTTCTAATACAAATTTAGTTCCATACCGATGTCTTTATTCATGCACTGGCTTGATTCTATTACTAATGCTTCCTGTATCTTCGGTTTAGAAAGTTTTACTCTAAGAGTATTCTCTTCACGTGGTCCCAAAGTATGCCGTGTTGCCTTGGTACTGCATGTTGCACAACCGCTGAATTGTTTTCGCATTCTCGCTTCATCATTTGCGGATCTTTCGATTGTCTTCGTCCTTTAATTTACGTTTGTCCAATCTGACATAGATCGGCGTTGCGAAATTTAGTCAGGTTACTGATGTGTTCTTTTTCCTCTCTTCCATAATGCT